GTTTCCAGTCCACATCACAATATTGCTTCAAAATCCAGAGTGCTTCATGCTCGGAACAGGGCAGATGCTGGGCTGACTGGGAGCAAAGAGGGGTGCTGGGAACGGGGGGGTGTGCAGCCGGAGCCCGTGCTGCCGCAGGCTTCGTGTGTGGTGCACCAGGCTAGTGCTCGTTGTGACCTCAGTAAGAAAGGCGTGCAGATTTTGAAGCATTGATTAAAATAGCATTTATTGGCAGTAATGTTAGAAGGAAAAAGAGGATAGTGTGATCTTATGTCCCTCCCATCGCGGGGACTCCGTGTCGTACAGCCTTGGACAGACCCAAGAGCATGGCATACCGTGCGGATCCTGTCCCTGGAGAGTTTGGCCGGCATTGTGGTCCTTACAGCTCTTAGGGGATTTTTTTGGAAGAAAAGAATTCCATTCCGCATTTCTGCTGCCAAACAGAAGGACGTTCACTCGAGCACTTGCTGCTTCACTTTTAGATAGATAGAAGGATACTGATGATTGTAATCCCTAGTGCCAAGTGGGAGCTGCGTCCCGGCTCCTTCGTTAGGATCAGGCAGCGCGGGGGGGCCGGGGGTGTCTGTGGCACAGCACAGGTTAGCTGTTACCCAGATCACCGACCCCTCGACGTGCGACAGTCTTCTGGTCAGGATCACGGCATTCACCCCTTCCCCTTCCAGGTGTGGGATGCCATCGAGGGGACCCTCCGCAGCAGTAATGATGAAGGTCAATCTGGCATCACAGCGCTCGTCTTCCTGAACAACAGGTAATTGCGTTTGTGCTCTGTGATCTCCTGTGAGGGGAGGAGAACACGTGGTGTAAGGCAGGGCCGCAGCTCTGACCCTCCTGCCACGGAGACAGAACAGCTCCATGATGGCCGAGGCTCAGCTGGGAGGTCTCGTCCTTCCCACGCGTCCGGCTCTCAAGCTGGGCATGGTGGAGCGAGCTTTTCTGGGTCCGAGTCTGTTCCAGCAGCCACTTCTTCATAGAGATACTCAGTCTTTCTAGGAGCTGAACGCCCAGAAGAATTCAGGGCTGGAGATGGGGCCTTTGGGTCACTGGTTTCTGTGTGCTGTTATCCAAGAGGCATTGCCATCTGCCAGTTTATTGTGTGCTCTGAGCTTAATACAATTTCCGAGCCCTCTTCCTTGCAATCAGGAGCGCCTCCTCACAGGGGCAGCCTGCGTGGTTTGTGCTCTGCCTCGGAAGGTCCCGGGGCTCCTCACCCTGTGAGAGCAGGGAAGGGCCTCTCCTCACGTGCCTGCCTTTCTCCCTCAGGATCGTCGCTGCCCGGTTGAATGGCTCTTTAGATTTCTTTTCACTAGAGACACACACGTCCTTGAACCACCTGCAGTTCCGAGGTAAGCAAGTGTCCGAGCGTGCTGTGCACCGCTCTGAGCTCCGCTGAGCCTTTTCTTCTTCCCTGGCCTTCTTGCAGCTGCCTCTTCCTCACACCCACTTCATAAACTGTCATAATAATGCTCCGCTCCACAAACCCCTGTGCTGCAGGGTGCCAAAGCAGCTGCTCTGAAGAGATGAGGAATACTTTGGGAGTTCCCTATGCAGGGAGAGCGTCTCGAGTGCTGGTTTTCTCCAGTGCGTAGGTCGGAAGGCTGAGGCATGCGTTCCAGGGTCAGCTCTGCCCCGTACCTCCTTCCTCTCCCACTTCTCCCTTACTTTCTCCTTCAGCAAGGTCTTTTCTCACTTGTTTGCACACCATGTAGCCCCACACAACCGCGATGTAGCCTGGGGCCTCGACACAACCACGACGCACGCAAAACTAATCCGTGGTGGTAACTGGTTTGCAGTGCAGTGCCTCCTTTGGTTCTGGAGTGGCCTGGAGGGGAGGGAAGCCCTGGCCTTACTCTAGAAGAATGGTCACATTTCTGGAGGGGTGTCCTGGGGTCCACAAGCTGTAGATGTGGGAGTGGAGCAGGCTCTGCAGGAAAGGATCGGCTGTGGAAATGACTTTTCCCCATAGGACGCAGAGAGTCTTACACCCAGCTGTCTGTTCTGCCTCTCTGACAACGGTAGTCAGAGGCAGTGCTCTTGGGCTTCAGGGATCTCAGTCTTGCGGAAGATTTACTGCGTAGGGGCCACTGATCTGCAGAAGGGAGTTCTGCTCCTGAGGACTCTGTTGGAGACCCTCACTCTAGTTGTTCATGAGTGCTGAGCAGCTGTAGCTTCTGTTGGTGTCAGGGTGCCGAGTGTTCGGCTCTTCAGAGGACCAGGTTGAAATTCCCTGAAGTTCAGCATCCAGGCATCCCCGATGTCACACCATTTCTGGGTGATAGGAGTCTTGGAGCATAAGGCTGCATCTGCTGCACTGAGGACTTACCCGTGTGTCTCACCACAGGAGCCCCGAGCAGAAGCAGCATCCCGTCCTCCCCCGTGTTCAGCAGCAGCGACATCATCGTGTGTCAGCTCACCCACACCGTGTCCTGTGCCCACCAGAAGCCGATCACGGCGCTGAAGGCTGCGGCTGGACGGCTGGTCACCGGGAGCCAGGACCACACTCTGAGAGTAAGGCTTCCTCGGCTGCGGTGCTGGGCTGCTGCTGCTGCCCTGTCACTGGTGGGGTGTGGGTGCTTCTGGGTGCTTCGCTGTCCTGTGGACATCACGGGACGTCAGCTTGTCCCGTGCGTGGGTGGGGGGAGCAAAGCTGACGTGTGTCTGTGCACAAAGGTAGACGGGTGTTCGGGGTGGTGTGGTTGGAGTCCAACCCAGTGTGTTCCTGGAGCTCCCCGTGGTACGCTCGTCTGCCTGGCTGGGGCTCCTCACTGGGGTTAGAAGGCCAGAGGTGAGGTAGCGTGAGGTACTCACTAAGCAGTGTGAGACCTTCCTGCCTTAGGGACGGGTGACTTCATGAATAGCAGGGTCTGGGTTCTGGGGAACCCCATTCTTAGCCACAGAATCGTTTAGGCTGGAAAAGACCCTTAAGACCATGGAGTCCAACCGTTACCCCAGCACTGCCCAGCCCACCACTAACCCATGTCCCCAAGCACCACATCTACACGGCTCTGAAATCCCTCCGGGGACGGGGACTCCACCACTGCCCTGTGCTTCTTTTGGTGAAGAAATTTTTCCTAATATCCAATTAATTAATTAATCCAAGTCTGTGACAGGCCCTGACTGCTGCGAGACGTACAGTAAGATGTACAGATGGCAGTAAGGCAGATAAAGCGAGAGCTGTTGCTTCGTTAGCAAGAGTGACCACGCTCAGGTAGTATCGCTCTGCAGCACGGCTGCCTCACCGATGCTCACATCTCCCTCTCCCGCCCCGCAGGTGTTTCGGCTAGAAGACTCGTGCTGTTTGTTCACGCTGCAGGGTCACTCAGGAGCTATCACAGCTGTGTACATCGATCAGGTAAGGTGCGGCTGGCTCTGCACCCCGAAGAACATCCTTGTATACGGCTCGCTGTGTCAGCCGGAGCCGGGCCCCTTTTCTGATGTACGTGCAGAGAAGTTGACGTGCGCTTCTCTGAGGATGCAGCGGGTCCACTGGTGGCTGGAACGGTGTGCTCACCGTGTGCCTGAGAAGCCAAACCATTCTTTTCCCATCCAGCTAACTGTGAGCGCAGCAATCCCTTTCCCTGGAGGTGCTTTGTCTCCCTGCCCTGTTTGCAGCAGGAAAGCCCCGTTCCCGCTGTACCCGTGCCGGCAGGCCAGCCCTTCTGAACGCAGCTCCGAGGGCAGAGCCGGGAGCAGGGGCTGAAACCGGCCCAGGAAGCGTTCCCTGCCCCATGAATGTCTGCCGTCCCGGGGACTGGCTGTCTCCCAAGAGTAGCGGTGTAGGTTTAGCTGAGCTGCTGCACAGCCTGCATCGGAGCCAACAGGCTCTAGCGGAGCGCGCCCTGCTCTGCAGTCAGCCCCCACAGAGGCTTTAGGCACCAGCTCCCCTGAGAAAGAAGGAGGAGAGCCACACCTGGGCGCTTTACACCTCTGTGAAATCAATGCAAGTTTCTCTGCAGCTGGGAGTCCTGCTGGGCTTGGGGGTTTGTTACCTCTGGCCTGCTCAAACACACGTACAAAGGCAGGGAAGACACCGAGCCGGCAGTTCAGGTTTCCATCCCACGTTCCTGTGACCTCCGACAGCCTGGGAGCGTTCCCGGAGCACTGGAAGTGCTTGTGTACGGAACTGGCCGGTTTGCTCGGCGGCTTCCCGTGTCCGTGGCACTGCGAAGCTCCGGGGTGTGTGATGGAAAGGGCGCTGTCCGCCGTCCGCTGCGGTTCCTGACTGCGTTCTGCCCGTGTCCTTGCAGACGATGGTGCTAGCGAGCGGAGGCCAGGACGGTGCCATCTGCCTTTGGGACGTGCTGACGGGGAGCAAGGTCAGCCACATGTACGCCCACCGAGGGGACGTCACGTCCCTCACCTGTACAACGTCCTGCGTCATCAGCAGCGGCTTGGACGACGTGATCAGCATCTGGGACCGCAGCTCGGGGATCAAGCTCTATTCTATCCAGCAGGTTGGTAGCTGGGCAGCAGCCGGGGAAAGCTTACGGGTGCTTCTGTGCCTTTCTGGACCCCGCCAAACCCCGCAGTCCACCTCTGCTGGGCTTGTGGTGTGAAGGGATCTCGATTTAAGCTCCGCATGCTTTGGGAAAGTTCCCTGTTTGTAAATAGAATATGCAAGAGCTCAGAAGAGCCTGAATCTGTTGCTTGGCCAGACCGTGTTGTCCTGCCGTGAGGCTCTGTGGCCCCATTCCAGCGCGTGTGCACCCGCGGGGCCGCGCTGGCAGAGGGGCTGTGGCTAAATGGCCACGGCAGGGGCTGCCTGCAGAAGCGGCACGGGCAGGCTGCTGCCCTCCCTCGCAGACGAGTTCCTGCCGGGACGCCTGCCCTGGGCTCGGCCCCCTGACGTGCTCTCGTTCCGCGCAGGAGATGGGCTGCGGTGCCAGCCTGGGCGTCATCTCCGACAACCTGCTGGTGACGGGAGGCCAGGGCTGCGTCTCCTTCTGGGACCTCGGCTAC